AATGTTCATTTCATCAGCTTATCAATATTTTGTCAACACATAGTACAGGGTGGGCCATAAAGGTTTTGGCAATATCAATATTCAATTAAAAAATTACTACGCAATATAAAATAAAAATAAATGTATTTTTAAAAAGTAGAAAGATAGGAAATTTTAAGACTTAAAAATAATGTTGTTCAAACGACTTCCTTCTTCTGCTTGGCACTCTTGAAACCGAAGCTGCAGATTTTGGAAACCTCGGTATGTTGTTACTTTCTCGAACAATATTCCTCTTCAGCTGCTCTAAATTAGTTGGATTATACTCGTAGACCACCGATTTGAGGTAGCCCCATAGGAAATAGCCGCATGGAGAAAGATCGGGGCTACGTGGTGGCCATTCAATATCCCCCCTTTTCGAAATGAGCTCTCCGGGAAAGAGATTTTTCAGTAGTTTTATAGATACCCTAGCTGTATGAGATGTGGCCTCATCTTGATGAAACCACATTCTAGAGGTATTGCCTTGAAGTTCTTGCAAAGCTGGCACCAAAAAGTGCAATAATTGTGAGCTTCAACTGTCATCGCTTGCCATCTATCGTCCTCAAAAAAGTACGGTCCAATAATACCGGTCGACGTAATTCCAGCCCACACGACTAGTTTAGTTTGTTAATATGGCCATTAAGGTGAAAATTGGCCTCATCACTAAACATCACGTTGAATCGGTCGAGTATCGAATTGACAAAGTTAAGTCGACAACATCTGGTTTTAATTCTTGGACTAGTTGAATCTTATAAGCCTTCAAATGCAAATCACGCTTCGAAATTCTCCGCAAGCTCGTTCTTTTGATGTCCAAAGCCTGCCTTCTCTTACGTGTTTACTGTTGCGGATTTCGCTGAGCTGAAACGCGAACACGCTCTACCTTGTCGGCTGATCTTGCAGAAACTGTACGACCACGAGCTTTTAGTGCTACTGTCGAGCCGGTTGCTTCCAACATTCTGATCCATTTCCGTATCACATTGCCGCTTGTAACTTCTCTTAAATCGCGTAAACCGTGTTAATGTCGATACAAACGCCGTGCAGTAATAACCGATTTATTGTTTTCATAATACGCTTGGATACAAAATTCACGCTGCGCTCCATGGTGACTAAATTTCCAGGCAACGGCGCGGCTAACAGCTTATCCCTCCCAAACCCGCGCCCCCCGTTTCCGGGAAATTTAAGATTTAAATCGCCCACCCTGTATATCTGATCTGACCAAACTACCAACATCTATATGGCAGACTATTTATACCAACTATTCTGGAAACACGTGTACTTGAAGATGACGTTTGAAGTAGCCGAAACGTCGTATTTTTAATAAATGTTTTAAGTTGACCGAATCTCAAGAGTTTCTAACAAAAATTATCATTGTTGCTTCATCATTGTATTCACACAATAAACCACGGTATATGAATATAGAACCAGAGCATTTATATAATAACATAACAGATCTTTTGCCTATCGCTAGATATAAAAAGTTCACATAAAGTTGCAATCTCATTTTCAACGTTTTGTCGGTTGGTTACGTATTGCATAATGGGATCCAATTAAGCTATGTTTCATTTATTCATTTATCATTAAATATTTTACGTTGCACTAATTCATTTTAGTTTATTCTATTGTTTCTGACCCAGAATGTCAAGACACACTAGATTCCATTAATCCGCTCTTTTAAATGCTTTAATGTTTTACGGATGTAACACTAATATCATTATTGGCACCCTTAGTGGATTTAAGTATCACAAAGAGGTAGAAACCCGGTATTTTCTGAATTGTTTACTAAGTGAAATATAAATCCGAACACCCAGTTTAAATGGTTTTATTTTAATAAAATTTTGTATAAGTAATTAATGAAGCATAGTAAGTAAATGATAAAAATTTCAAAATGATTGCACTGCTTTAAAGCCCTTTGACCTTTAATAATGTGTGGATGCACCCTGATGTGCTACGCATTCTCCAACGCGCCTAGGCATGCTTCTGATCAGGTGGTCAATGTCCTCCTGTGGTATCTCATTCCAGGCAACCCCCAACTCCTCTCGAAGTGCTTCTAGAGTCTGAGGAGGACGTTGCAAATTGAGCAATCTCCTACCCATCATATCCCACACGTGCTCAATTGGGGATAAGTCGGGAGATCTTGGTGGCCATGGTAACAATGTGACATCATTATGTTGAAAGAAGTATATTGTGACTCTTGCAACATGTGGTCGGGCATTATCTTGTTGGAAAGTTGGATCTGCCAGGGTGTCAAGATAGGGTAAAAGATGGGGTTCTAGAACTTCGTGGATATAACGCTGCGCGTTCATGTTACCTCTGATGAAGATTAAAGGTGACCTGGAACCATAAGCTATAGCACCCCAAATCATAACTCCAACAGTGCGATGAACATGTCTTTCAACAAAAAACTGTGGATTCCTCCTTTCACCACGTCGCCTTCTAACCCTGGCACGACCATCGTGCATGCCTAAACAAAATCGAGACTCGTCACTAAAGACAATACTGTTCCATTCCTGATCCCAGAGTGACCGTTGTCTGCACCACTCAAGGCGATTACGTCGGTGTTCTCGAGTTAAAGGGAGGATCCAGTGTGGCCGGTATGAAATTTTTTCACTTGTTATTTACAGTAAGATAAATACATTCACCAACTTGTATTAAAATAAAACCATTTAAACTGGGTGTTCGGATTTATATGTCACTTAGTATATTTCAAAGACAACTGAGATAAAATATAATTGAAGCAAGAATACGGTACGTTCCCTAGCGGTTACGAAAAAGCACAAGAATAAATTTTACAGTAAAATATTTTAAAATCGTGTCATATTGGTACATACTTGAAAATTGTAGTTCAAGCCTATTTCTCAATATATCTCCATAACAAATAAAGATATGGGTCTATGGACTTATGCACTTTCCGATCATTAAAAAAATGATATCATTGTGTTTGAAATATTTGAAAAATAAAAAAAGATCATTAGGGTCGCAGGTCAATACTCTTTCAAACGAAAACAAGAACATCAAAATCGGTGCAGTCAGACAGAAGTTATGTGACTTTTAATCCTCCATCAGCCAAAATATGCGAAAACGACGTGAACAAAAATGTTCGGAAATTGAGCAATTCTATATATTTAATATGTTAACTATGAATTTTTGTAAAATAATAGTGTTTGAATTTTTGAAATAGGAATGACAATTCCTAGCGGCGGTTTTAGGAAGCTGAAAATAATTTCCAGCAATTTTTTGCATGCTATCTATACATAGTGTCCCACTTTAATGTCCTCAACTTAATATTTCAAAAACTGGGCATTCTACAAAAAAGGAAATCATTAAGCTGAAAATAATTTCCTGCAATTCTTCTAGCCTTCATTTATCATGAAATTTTTTTAATCGATAGTTGAGCGGTTGCTGAGATTCAGCCGGTGCACTGTTTGGTAAATAATGCAGATAAATCAAAAATGTTGTTATTTGGTCAAGAGGTACAAAAATATAATGCAAAATCAGAGATTGATATACTAATTGGGGATATGGACCTTTATCAGAACAAGCTAAGAGCCTTGGAGTTTTGCTTGATTGCGAATTAAGCTTTAAATCGCAAATTAGCGAAAACATACTCTGATTAATAAAATAAATAAAAAAAACTAAAATAATCCTTGTCACAGTCTAGTTCTTTCAATTTTACTCCATTCCGATGCTGTGAATAAAAGATACAAAGTTCTTGTTTGAGGCTAAGTTATGGTATCCGTGGACCAAACTCACTCACAAATCGTATGATGGAGGTTAGCTAAATATGTATAATAGAAGGCTACTCCATGCAGCTTGTTTATATCACAAGTAATTATTGCAAAATAACCGATATATCTCTATAATAAAACAAGATTTCGCACCAAAGTAACACTTTAAATGTTAGATTTAAGGTGGCACGTCCCTTTTTTTAGTTTTTTTTACAGCTTGCTGTTTGCAGCTGTATTCTAAATCCTTTTCATCTGATAATTTAATGGTATGTATAGATATGACTAAAAAACGTTGTCTTCCTTTTATTTTTTGTCCAAAAATGCATTTTTTGTGCAATTTTTCTTCAATCTGAACTTGTTAACAAGTATTATAATATAGCTCTGAAATTTTGTACGAATATTCCTTTTATGGAAGAATGAAACGAGTGATTACTTTCGTCCGTATCACTTTTCCTTTTCGAAAAATATTTGCTTTTCTTGAAAATTCAACTTGCTGCGAGAACGAGGCTTCAAATAAATCGAAGATTTTTCGAAAAGGAAAAGTGATAAGAACAAAGGTAATCACTCGTTTCATTCTTCCATTAAATAGGAAATTCACATACAATTTCAGAGCTGCACTTATATTTGTTAACAAGTTCCGATTGAAGAAAAATTTCACAATAAAATGCACAAGAAATGCATTATTTGACAAAAAAAATGAAAACATTGTTTTTTTAGTCATCTCTAAACACACCATGAAATTATCAGATGAAAAGGCTGCAGACAGGAGGTTGAAAAGAAATCTAAAAAAAGAGACGTGCCACCTTAAGGGTCTACGAGTCTCCTCCAAGATTTCAACATGATTTTTTTAAGCGAGGCTTTACCTGTTACATTTAAAGTGTGTACATCGGTTTCGCAACCGAAATTAACAAATTAAATATATTTTAGAACTCAGGAGCTATGTCAAGCAAGATTTATCCACCAATCAGTGTATAAATAATATAATGGAACTATTATCAGGGCAGTCTTTTGGTTATGATTACATGATTTGAAGGGTTAGGAGAAAGGAGAGATGTGCATCACTTTAGCGATGTACAGTTCAACTTCGCCCTTCGCCAAACGCCCTTTTTTTAATTTCAAGTTTTATTTTTTCTGTTGTTGTCGAATAAAGACATTTAATATTGTATTATTTCTCATGAATACGTCAATGATGCACAATCATTTCTCTGTACCGATTTCCCGCTTAATACACACCACCACACGCATAGACTAGTACCGTACATAGAGGGCGCTTTGTTGCTGACAGGTAAACACAGTCCAGCCGGTCCGCGCAGCCGCAGCGGCGACCGGCCCCACTCTGCCCAATCGTGGCGGCACTCCAGGACCGGGCCGGCGCAAGCGGACTCCTCTAGCAGCCTACCAAAGTCCAGGAACGGCTCCTTGGTCACGGCCAAGGACTCGCTGAGTGGCAAGCTGCGTAGCGCCGACTCTCTGGGCAGGAACGCGCACGCGCAGGCATCAGTGACAACGTCGACGGCCAGCGCTGAAAAGGTACGATCGAAAACAGCTTCCAGCATATGGAATTTCTTCAGGCGCGACTAGGACGATCGATGTGACAAGTGACAGACGGACGCAACGCAAGGTGTTTGTTTTCGTTTAGTTGCGCTCTGTCGAAATGGCACGACACCCCCCCAAGCACGGTCGAGCAGTAAGTGGCAGCTTGTTTTTATTTCGTTTCTCTTCGCTGCTGCTTGATGATGGCTTTTAGTTGTGCTGTTCTAGCGGGCGGTGTAGATGTCTGTTTTACTCCAAGCACTAGCGTATCTGAACTTCGAGTTTAACTGCGTGGAAAATTATTATACACTCATGTCTCGTCACATGTAAAGTTCTCAGAATTTGAAATGTTATGCATTTATGTTAGTTGAAGGAAAATGTGAAGGTTAAGAATGCTTATTGGGATATTGGTTTCATCCAAAATAAAAATTCTTAAATTTTTCAGTTAACTAGAGCTACACAGAGATATTCACTAACAGGATTGATAAAAACACGTGGTATATTAGTAGATATTTATCTATCTAGGGCGTGAAGAGAACGGTTATGGCCCACAGATATTGGAGACCAAAGTACTCATTGACTCGAACCAACGAATATAACCGCTATATACCGGGTATTTCAAATTCGACCCTCACCATTTGAATCTCGGAAACGGTAAGAGATACAAAGTGGCTTAAATGGGGGCAAAGTAGCGTATTTAGATAACTAACAAGATGGTGTTTAGAAGGTTTTGAAGTGCAAAGTATCTCCATAGAGAGACGGAAAAAACCGAATTTTCCCAAAATAGTTTTATTTTTTTCATGATTATTTGCAGTGGGACTTCAAAATAAATTGCATATTAATATTTCCACTTTTTCAATTTCAATATGACGTTTCATTTCTTGCCCTCCGGTATCGACTTTATTTGTTCATACGTGAATAAAGTTTTTAATTCAGATTCCAGTAATATAAATTATGGTATCTATCACCCTCGTATATTTAGTAAACGTCTTATTCTTGTATATTCCATGTATTTACTTTTCTTATGAGTTCTTGTTAATTACGATGTCAATGATATCTGGGTACACTTTCCCATCATAACAAATTCCTTCAAGATACCGATTTATTTATAGATCATTCTATATTTTGCTGTATAACCTTTAACATCTCAATAAAAAAATTTTGTAAAAATTCTGTTTTTCCGTCCTTTCTCCGGAAGTACTTTGATTTTTGAAACTCTAAGCGGCATTTTGACAATTACCTAAATACGAAGCTTTGCCCCCATTTAAGCGACTTCGTATGTCACCGTTTCCGAGATCCCAAAGGTGAGGGACGAATTTGAAACACCCTGTATATGAAAAATAAATAAATTGACCGGAATCAGGAATGTTCCCGTGGTATCCATATTATGTTCAATGTAGCAGGTGCATTACCGCCCTAGGGTATAAAGGAGTCCTTGGACTGAAAGGTGGACCGGATTTTTTTAATTCTTCAGTATGTTCTAGCTACAGAAAATATTCGGTATAAGAAAATAATCGTATTCATACATTATTAGGCACAATTCTTCAATAATCTGTAATATATCATATGTATAGTAAAAAAGCACATTTTCCACTTTCTTGCTCACCCTGTAACAGATGGTTCGAATCTAGTGTTTGGAGTGAAAATTAGTGGGGTGTAGTTTCACTGGCAATGGAGTAGAATAGAATTTGGGTCTCACCAGTAGTATTTATATCTAGAGAACGGAACGTTGAGTTTCCTATACGGAGATTCGTAACTTGATCACGATGTGTACGAATTCACAAGAGTTGCTTTGCTGAAAATCGAGCAACTTTATCGGATAAAAATTAACAAAACAAAACAATTCACACATATTGCATTAATAATACTGAAGAAAGTCGTCATTCCATTTGAACAGTTAGTTTCCATACAGTTGTATTTCGTTTAAATTCTGGCCTTTCTAGAAAAACGAACGATGGCATTGAGTCTTCTTTACCTCTTTTTCCAAACAATTGTTCATATATATATGACTGAGATGATGTTAGAGTAAATCGCAAATATTTCATTTCTTATTTCAAAATGAAAGACTTAGGGTGTAACATTTACGAAAATATCATTTTTTCTTTAAGGAACCCTCTGCTTGCCATTTTATAGAACTTCAAAGTGGCATTTTTGGTGGTAATACACTAGAATAGAATACTGTTTTATATGCTGGTCTTTTTGCTTTTTGCACAAAACGGCGCTCTAAATTATAAGAATATAACATACGTTGTGTAGTACTAAGGAAAATAGATGTGAAACTGTAACTAATCCTTGATTTTTTTACACAAATAGGTTAAAAACTAGCCGTACAATAAGCTGAAATGACAGCTCCAAATACATATGTATACTTTACTATACTTTAGCGCATAAAGGACGAAATTCTTGTTTTTTTTTCGAACAAAAAAAATAAGGTATCGGTAGACATGATCATTTTTTAAGGAAAAAAAGATGTGAAGCTATAAAAAATCTTTGTTTTTTTTCAAAAAAAAAAGGTTCAAAACTAGCCATGTAATAAGCTAAAATAACAGTTCAAAATACATACAGTAAATGATGGTCAACTGTGTAGAGGTGTTGTGTTGCGATTTTTTAATGTCTTCCTTAACCATTTTGTTTCGCGTATTTTCAATGAGATCTTTAAGTTTTTGCGTTTATAAGGAATATTTGAAAGTACAAATAATTCTCCCATTTTGTAACGTTCGTTTCTTGACAGATAAGATAAATGATGTCCATTATTGCCAAATTGTACTTTTTGGGAGAAATACGTAATAAAAAAATGAGGTTATTTGTAAAAGAAATGTCTTACTTTAATGTAAATGGCTTGTTTTATAAAAAGTTATCCCAATATTTACTGAAAATTAGATGAAATTTTGAACAGTACGTGTTTAAACAGTGGAAAATGCACCACCGGCTCACGTGACATGAAAAATACAAAAAGCATATTGCATATAAAAATACCCAACATATCTTCAAACATTATAGTTAAATAAAGATCAACGACCATTTCATCAAATCATCAAAAAACTTGCATATTCTTCTTTGCTATGTTTTCATTATTTATTGACTGGCAGTAGCTACTTTTTCAGTAATTTCTCATGTACACTTCACAATTCAAGTACATACAAACAAAAAGTAAATAGATTATAACTATAAAATAGGAAAAACAATAACCGAAGTATTTTTGAGAAAGGCATACGGCATTCTTCAAAAAAGTGTATTTAGCTAACGCTATCGTAGGACATGAGGTAGATTTAGTACAGTAAAACCTGCTGGCCACACCTCCAAATCGCATTTTCATGACAATCCTGTGCCGTTTGCACTTTTGCGCTAGTATATAAGTAAGAATTTGACAAACCAAATCAAGGTATATTACTATCCATGATTTGGCAACATCGCAACTAGATGCAGAAATTATCATAGTGATGGTGGTATAGTGATGGGAATATTTTTTTCCATTGTTGCGATGAACAGCGTCACAGTATACTGTGACGCTGTTCAGTTTATGTTATATTCATATAATGTTGAGCATTCTTTTGTGTAAACAAGAAAAAACCAGCTTATAAAGCAGTGTCTAATTCCACTCAAAATGCAACTTTGAAGTTCTATAAAATAGCAAGCAGGAGGTTTCTTAAAGAAAAAATGATATGTTGATATTCATTTTAAAATAAATGGAATATTTGAGATATGCGCTAACTATAATTCAGCCGATGATAGATTTTACACACTTTAATTGTTGCTCTATTTTTTGCGAACACTCATTTGGTAAGTTTAATCGGAATTATAGGATGATGTCTCCGGTTGATGCGAAAATACTTTGTATTTTATGAAAGCAAAAGCAAAAAATCGACTACACGGCACTACCTTCTCAAACACAACCAGGTTCATTTTATTAGATTTGTAAAACTTAATAATTAAAAGCATGTGATATTTACCTTTAACAATCGTAAGAACATATACTGGTATAAGATTTAATGCATTTGACGGGGTTTCTGAAGTTCACTATTTTAATGACACATGCACACTATTCTCATTCGATGGTTAACAAATTATAGTAGACAGTAGCACATACCAAGTCAGCTAAACATAATAAATGCTTCAATGGTAGTATTGTAGTGAATTGCTGGATAACTCTTTGGGATAAACTAAAAATATCTATCAGTATCAAACCTTCTAAATTGCTCTCTCTATACCCTTACGCGAATATCTACTACTATGTAGTACTCCAGTAGTGGAAACATCAAATACATCCGAACATTCGGAAAAGTGGCAGATGATTGTTTGCTGTGGAAGCTTTGCGACTGATTTTGCTGCTGAATTTGGCGGTTGTAACTGGATCATATTTCAGAACGAGTGGCGACACAATCTGTGCGAGAATCCGTGCAACAAAAATTTACTATTCAATCTTATTAGGGGCGTCACCAATGAGAGATAAAAAGGTGTAAACTCGTATAAATATTTATTTTGCCATTCTAAAAGTGGTCTCAAAAGTCTTAGAAAATCTCGCGTTCCAATGTCCCAAATCTCGGCTTTTTTCAAAGATCTCGCTTCCTATGGGTTTGATATTTGCTTTTATTATGAATATCGTAGGGAGTACATTTCTGTACATATTTTTTCTTTAACTTTTTATATCCCTTTTTGAGATAAATAGGAGAGAACGCGTAGCACTTAGCCGTTTACCGTATAATACAAGGCCAGTAATAAATTATAGGCCCTATAGTAGTAAGTATCCAGGGTAGAGAATTTTATTTTCTACAATATGTATAATAAATGCAAATAGCATTAAACGGATAGGGTCTTTGCTCAAGACGCGGACAGCTTTTAGAATGGCAAAATAAGGTTTCAACAAGTTTACAGTTTATCATCTCTTATTCAGAGTTTGACCCTCTTTTTATGGCTTATACAGGGTGATTCGCAAGTCGTGACCAAAAATGAAACATAAACAAGACTGCATTTTAAGGGGGGTGTTGAAGTTTAAAAATAAAAAACACATTTTTTTAATATATTC